GGTAACGTTCAGTCCTTGGCCTTCTCATAGGCAAAAGCGTTCTGTTCTAGATATCTGTGATTAGGGGTGCCAGACTTTGCAAATAAAAATGCAGCATAGGCCAGGTGTGGTGGCTCACACCTGTAATCCCAGCACTTTGGGAGGCTGAGGAGGGCTGATCACCTAAGGTCAGGAGTTCAAGACCAGCCTGGCCCACATGGTGAAACTCCACCTCTACTAAAAATACAAAAATTAGCTAGGTGTGGTGGCAGGTGCATGTAATCCCAGCTACTTGGGAGTCTGAGGCAGGAGAATCGCTTGAACCCAGAAGGTGGAGGTTGCAGTGAGCCGGGATCACTGCCACTATACTCCAGCCTGGGCGACCAGAGCGAAACTCTGTCTCAAAAAAAATTAGACTGTGGTAATGGTCACGCAAGTCAGGGAAAATACTAAACCCTACCGAACTGCACACTAAGTGTGGTGGAATTTTATAATTCATGAGTGTCTTAAAGCTGTTTTATAAAACACGGGATATTCAGTTAAATTTGAATTTTATTAAAAGCTAAACCATGAAAAGAAATTTAGTATAAGTATATCCCAAGCAATAGTTGAGATATATTTATACTAAAAATATTTTCATTGTTTATCTGAAATTCAAAAGAAATTTAAATTTAACTGGACATCTGGTGTTGTATTTGGCAACTCTATTCATGCCTCTAAATGTCTCAGAAAGCATCTACAGGAAGAGTAAAATTCAAAAACCATAGAAAAAGTTGAGAAGAGAGAAGGACTGGATACTGTATAAGATCTTCCTAATCTTTACAGCTTATAAAACTTGCCATTAAATCAGAAACTTTATGGGGGAAGTTCAAGTGTAGAGCTTTAAAAAATTTTAGGCTTAGCCAGGCGCGGTGGCTCACGCCTGTAATCCCAGCACTTTGGGAGGCCGAGGTGGGTAGATCATGAGGTCAAGAGATTGAGACCATCCTGGCCAACATGGTGAAACCCCGACTCTACTAAAATACAAAAATTAGCTGGGTGTGGTGGCGCACGCTTGTAGTCCCAGCTACTCGGGAGGCTGAGGCGAGAGAATTGCTTGAACCCAGGAGGTGGAGGTTGCAGTCAGCCGAGATTGCGCCACTGCTCCTGGCGACAGAGCAAGGCTCTTTTTGGCTTGAGTGTATGAGAAATTAGTATAAAGTGATTGCCAAACAATGGGATTTACTGTTGTTACACTTTACGGGAGAAAATGAAAATCTCTTCAAGTAAAGGTTTTATACATATATAAAATCCTCCCCTGGATGTTTGCATTGGTTTTAAGGGGATGTTTCAGTTTGCAAATACTGATAAGCAGAGTTGTTTAAAGTTGGAACTTGCATCAGTCATGTTAACAGAACAACCACACCTCTGCTTTGCTACTGGAAAAACCAGCATAAAATTGCTACAGTGGCATCAATCAGTGCAGAATTATTAAGCAATTAACTATCAGGCTGTGCCTGTAAAACTCTGTTCACACTTTTAGTCCAGGGGTAAGAGGTCAATATTATTTTTTTTATTTTATAAATTGAAAAACATAAAACTACAATGTATTGCTCTGAATTTAATAATTTGATCAGTTGGAATTAGAATGTGTGGGCTTATGTGCTGCAACATTTAACCAAGCCTTAGATTTCTTATTAAATATTTTTTCTGAGATGGATTCCCACTCTGTTGCCAGGCTGGAGTGCAATGGCGCAATCCAGCTCACTGCAACCTCCACCTCCCTGGTTCAAGCTATTTTCCTGCGTCAGCCTCACGAGTAGCTGGGAATACAGGCATGTGCCACCACACCCGGCTAAGTTTTTGTATTTTTAGTAGAGACGGAGTTTCACCGTGTTAGCCAGGATGGTCTCAATCTCCTGACCTTGTGATCCCGCCACCTTGGCCTCCCAAAGTGCTGCGATTACAGGCGTGAGCCACTGTGCCTGGCCTCTGATAAACTATTTTAAGTATATAATGGGTATGGAATTAACTTTCATACACTCTGATAGCCCAACTCTCTCACTATGATATTGGTGTGATAATGAATTAAAATAAACATTATAGATTAAAAGAAATTTAAATTAACTTAAATCAGTAAGTATTATGTAGGTTCAGAAAAAGAGACCAAATGCCTCCCTTGAGTAATTTCAGAACTTACATGGAGCATAAGGAATGGCAGCGTTAGGCAAGGATTTTCACGATACTTTCTTCTTTCTACTTACATCTAGAGTTGTAAAAATTCATTCATGTAGGTGACACATTGAGATTTTAGTGCTAAGAGGATGTGGCATAATTGTTCTCCTTTTACAAATTTCCTTTTGAGGCCTAACATGCTGTTTTCTTTTGTTTTTAGTTGACACGTGCTAATTGTACATACTCACAGGATGTAGAGCGATATTTCGTTACACGTGTACAGTGTATAATGATCACATCAGGCTAATTTGAATATCTGATGCCTCAAACAATGATCGTTTCTCTGTGTTGTGAATATTCAAAATCCTCTCTTGTAGCTTTTTGAGAGAGACAACGAATGATAATGATAGTTAACCGTATTTATCCTACAGTGCTGTAAAACCTCAGAACTCATTTCTTCTATCTAGCAGTAATTCTGTATCTATTCACCAACTTCTTCCCCTCCTTCCTTCCCCCTTGCCCTTTCCAGCCTCAAATACTAAGGGCCAAAATCTTCATACAAAAAATAGTTGCAAAAAAAAAAGAAATTTGGCCAGACCAGGCTCACAGCCATAATCCCAGCACTTTGGAAGACTGATCGTTTGAAGCCAGGAGTTCGAGACCAGCCTGGGTCCAAAAATAAGAAAAAAAAAAAACAAAAACAAAACAAAAAAAAACTAGCCGTGTGCCACACACCTATAGTCGCATCTACTCAGAAGGCTGAAGCTAGAGAATTGCTTGAGCCCAGGAACTGGAGGCTGCAGTGAGCTGTGACTGCACTACTGCACTCCAGCCTGGGTGACAGAGTGAGACCCTGTCTCAAAAAAATAAAATATGAATAAACAAAGAGTTTATAATTTGTAAAAATTAAGAAGTAGAATATAAGAGGCTGAGCAGTATCTGCGGACAAAAATCTGCTAAAAAACATCGCTGCAGCTAATGCTGGTTCCTGGATTCCTGAGGGCCTTTTTCTGCAGAAACTCTCGAGGACTGAAGTGTTTCTGGGACACGAGCAGGAAGAATGCATAGCCCTGAGAGCTGAGATCGTGCACCTCCGGCTTCCTCCTTGGCCAGTGTTGACTAATGTGGTCTACTGGATTCTGGCCCCAGCCACGTTAATTAAAGCGACAGCGCAAATGAAGAGGTTCAAACTTCCCTGGCACACTAAGCTAAGAAATCACAACATGGAGGTCTGAAAGGTCTCAGAACTGGAGCCAGCCTTTAGAGCTGGGGAAGATGATGTGCTTATTGGACTCAACTCAAGGGACCGGTTCCAAAGGAGAGAGACCTGGAAAAGAAAGAGGTTCCTGTGCTTGTGTGGCTGAATGATTTCATTAGAATCTCTCGTTCAAATTAACCACATTTCACAGGCTTCGGTAGGTAAGAATATTTGAAAATGATGCAAAAGGCTGGGAAAAAATGATCCGTGATGTTGGATCCATGAGCTACGTGGCATTACTGTCAAAAATGAGATTAACTTCACTAGGGCTAAATCTCTTGCATGTGGGCAAGAAAATAACCAATTCATTTTCATTCATTCTTATACCCAAACTTGTTTAAAAGAAGTATTACGGGGCCCGGTGCGGTGGCTCACGCCTGTAATCCCAGCACTTTGGGAGGACGAGGCGGGTGGATCACGAGGTCAAGAGATCGAGACCATCCTGGTCAACATGGTGAAACCCCGTCTCTACTAAAAATACAAAAAATTAGCTGGGCGTGGTGGCACGTGCCTGTAGTCCCAGCTACTCGGGAGGCTGAGGCAGGAGAATTGCCTGAACCCAGGAGGCGGAGATTGCGGTGAGCCGAGATCACAACATTGCACTCCAGCCTGGGTAACAAGAGCGAAACTCCGTCTCAAAAAAAAAAAAAAAGTATTACCTTTCCCCCTCTGATGTTTATTCTGTACCTGAAGTATTCTCTTTGCTATTTCTTTAAAGTTTTAGTGTAGCCCCTTGAGTCCAGTTTCAGTCAATCAAGTGAGAAAAATATTAGCGCCACTCCCAGCCGCTTGAGCTAACGAACTGAATCAAGAATCGGTTTCAATTTTACATTATGCCTTATTATATATTCATATTAAACCATTGAGTCAGTCCAACACTGTATTCCTTCCATTCTGATCCAGCATCCTTACTGGATTCCCACACGTGTCCTTCTGGTTTCTGTTGATGTAAACTGGTGTATTCTAATCTTATGGTCTATGTTTTGTACCTGTTGGGGACTGCTGCGATGTGAGTCTGTTCTAGAATCAATGAGAAACAGGTGGGCGTGGGGCAGACCCCGACCCACTGCTCCTCCTAAGGAGTGTCACAAGTCCTTTGTAAGGCAACCACTTCGAAATAGACTATTACAGGACCTTCAGCCGTGAGGACAATAATCTCCTTCGCCAGGCTAGAAAGGGCTGCTTCTACCAGCAAGGAAGACTTGGCAGATCTGGGGACTCAAGGCCCCCTGCGGCACCTTCCCAAATTTTAGAGTCCCTTTCCTTTCCAATCATTGCCTTAACTTTAGCAAAGGACATCCTGTAAAGTTAAATTCAATTGAATTGGACTTTGGGTTTGATTTTCAGAAATCTTGACTCTACAGCTATAAGAAAAAAATGTCTTTTTTTTTTTTTTTTGGTGAGGGGAAGGCAGTCATAGATTTCTGGTCCTTTAGCCAGACCTTGAGTTGGGAATTTAAAGTCCTAAGCTCATCATTTTCTGTCTCCAAGTACTGCAGAATGCTTCAAAACAAGCAAGCAATCCCATCATGTATAAAGTGATAGAGTGTTCTATGGTAAGAGCTACATAGTCATCCTGAAATTTCCTTTCTTTTTTTTTTTTTTTGAGATGGAGTCTCTCTGTCATCCAGGATGGAGGGAAATGGCATGATTTCGGCTCACTGTAAACTCTGCCTCCGGGTTCAAGTGATTCTCCTGCTTCAGCCTCCAGAGTAGCTGGGACTACAGGCACCCACCACCGTGCCCAGCTAATTTTTGTATTTTTGTAAAGATAGGGTTTCACCATGTTGGCCAGGCTGGTCTTGAACTCCTGACCTCAGATGATCCAACTGCCTTGGGCTCCCCAAAGTGCTGGGATTACAGGCATGAGCCAGCACGCCCAACCTGAAGCCTTGCTTTCCAAAGACACTTGATGACAAGTATCTACAGGTAATAATTGAAATAACTTTGCCATTCCTTTTTATGCATGACTGTTACTCTTTACCAATGGAAACAGGGTCACTAATACTTTAAAATCTAATCAGATCAGAGGACCAATTTCAGATAGCCTTGAACTGGTTCCGAGAGCACATCCTCTGAAATGATTTCTGGCACGGATTTCCATATAAGGCAGGGTTCAGCCAGAGATGCTGAATCACTAGAAGTGGTACAGAATAATGGATTTATTTTGGGGATTAGATATTACACAATTGTGGGAGTTGCTGGAGGAGTCTGTGCAAGGATATCGCCTCTTCGTCTGGTGATGAATTCTTTGTAGGTTACCCACTCAGGGAAGAAAAGCCAGGTGTGAAATGGCATTAGCAAGGACAGACTGTGACCCACTAGAACACACTGGAAGCCACAGGAATAACTGGGACCCACAAGAACAAAGTGGAACCTGTGTCTGCCTCACTGGCTCCAACATGGTGACACTGACCTGTAGGAGCTGCGGGGCCTTCATTGAGGAGCTGCACACACACCTGGCCTGGGACTCAGAGGAGTTGCAGGGATGTTCTGGTGGGAACTGGAGAAGCAGGAGCCTGGCTGGTGGCCATGGGACAGGATGTGCTTGTATATCAGTGACAATGTATGTGGCAGCTCCCACACTGCCCGGACCTTCAGAGCGTAAAAATATGGCAGAGTTGATCGGGCACAGTGGCTCACACCTGTAAACCCAGCACTTTGGGAGGCTAGGGCGGGCAGATCATGAGGTCAGGAGTTCGAGACCAGCCTGACCAACATGGGGAAACCTCGTCTCTACTAAAGATACAAAAAATTAGTCAAGCGTTTTGGCAGGCACCTGTAATCCCAACTACTCAAGAGAGTGAGGCAGGAGAATTGCTTGAACCAGGGAGGTGGAGGTTGCAGTGAGTCGAGATTGCACCATTGCACTCCAGCCTGGGCAACAAGTGCAAAACTCCATCTCAAGAAAAAAAATACGGCAGAGTCATTGCTTTTGTCTCCCAAATACTGGACAAAATTCTCTTGTGGTCAGCCCTAACCCAGCCACGTGCAGGAAAGAGAATGCTGGAAATGCAGCTCCAGCTTGGTTAAGTTGACCAAGGCAGCAATCAGTGTTTCCTAGTGTCATGGGGTTTATATTCTAGTGAGGAAAGGGACTATGAATAAGTGAATGAATATGTGTGTGTGTATCTCTTTTTCTTTTATTTCTTTCTTTTCCTTTTTTTATTTTTTGAGGTGGAGTTTTGCTCCTGTTGCCCAGGCTGGAGTGCAATGGCACGATCTCAGCTCATCGCAACCTCCACCTCCTGGGTTCAAGCCATTCTCTTGCCTTAGCCTCCCAAGTAGCTGGGACTACTGGCATGAGCCACCGTGTCCAGCTAATTTTGTATTTTTAGTAGACGAGGTTTCTCCATGTTGATCAGGCTGGTCTCAAACTCCTGATCTCAGGTGATCCACCCACCTCAGCCTCCCAAAGTGCTGGCATTACAAGCATGAGCCACTGCACCTGGCCGTGTATGTGTATTTCTTATAACAACCTTCTAAGATAGGAATGTGTATTATCCCCATTGGGCAGATGAGAAAACGAAGGCCAAAATCAATTAAGTATTTTGGCCTAGTTCCTTTCCATAGCTCATAAGCGCTGGAGCCAAGCTCTGGACAAGCAGTTTGCAATCAAAGTCCAAGGTATACTAACTGCTACTCTGTTTTGTTCATTCAGCAATAGCCTTCCCGAAACACTCAACCCAAACGGGATACTTCCCGGTGCTGTTGCAGATGTTACCGGTTTACTGCGTTCGTGTATCTTGTCCTTCCGTTGTGTAATACTTACCTAATTGGATATAAAAGTCTTTGATAGGCAATATGAACATTGTGTGTGTGAGTTCACTTTAGCTGTTAATAGTGTTGTGCATCCAGCCAGCGGCTTGTAAATTCTCGTTGTGTTGACTTAAGGGCTTGAACAATCACGGCGAAGCATGTGTACGTGTGGTTTAAGCAGCATTAAGTCTGAAAGAAATCGCGTTCTAAAGTGCTTTGCCGTTCTTTGAAATGTGCAGGAGAAAAGGGAAAGCGGTCGGCACTCCCTCCAGGACTCATCTCTGGACTGACCTCGGATCATCACGTGGCTCAGACAAGCTGGGGCACGGGGGCAGTCAGGAGGATGGAGGGGTCCCGCTGAAGCTGGCCCGGTGGCGGTCACGGTCCGGTTTGCCACAAAGGATCATTCCAAAGGCCTATTAAGTGAATTCCTGTAGCCCATTCAGCCGATGGAAGGGAGACGGGACTCCAACTTCAGGGTTAATCCTGCGTTTTTGTATGCTCCGAGAATGAAAGGGCCCTTTGTTAATTTGCGTGTCGATTTATTTAACATTCCCCAACTGGCAGAAAACGGAAGGTAGTGCATGACACTGGGGAGAACGAGGCCCCCTCCCGCCGCGCATCGTCTTGGTGTTAGCCGTTTATTCGCTCCTGTGGAAACTTTGGAAAGGGTTAGTTTTGTGGTTGAGTTTCCTTTTTTTTTTTTTTTTTTTTTTCCAGCATGATTACAGTTAGATCTGCAGTGTTTCCTCAAATATGTGAGGGGAAGGGAGCGGACTTCCTAAAGGAAAGTATTTATATTTTTAGACAAATATGCTGTTACAAAGCTTTTTATCCAAAAACACGTTTAAAAAAAGAGTGTTCTAAACAACAGGAAATATATCTTAAAGCAGAGTTCAGGTAGTTGGTCTTAGAAAGTGTGTTTTAATGCAGTGACAAAGAGCTTAGACATTTGGTTTTGTTGACATTGATTTATTTTTCTTGATACATGGCAATTTTGTTTTATTTTAAAGGAGGACCAAGAAAATCCTTCTGGATTTTGGAGTGTCAGCCTTGACTCCCCTTCTTTCTGAACTCTCTTGATCGGCTTCAGGCTCCCGTGTCAGGTCAGCAGTGTCATGGAGAGCTTGTCCCTGGGTGGGGACAGGATCCCAGCCAGGCCATAAATGGGGGCCTTGGGTGGAGGGAGCGTGAGTGGGTCAGGAGAGAGAAGGCATGAGAGAGGCACTCTGTTTTGACAACACAGGCCACACTGTTTTGTCACAGATTTGTGGTGTGTCACAGCTCGAGGGAGTTCTGGAGGTCACCCAGGCCAGAGGTTCTCACGTTCTTGACCACATGCACCAGGAGGTGGGTCCCGGGAATCCACATACTTAAGTAAGTGGCTGGGGAGAGCGGGCCCAATAACCAGCTGGTACAGAGGCCTCATTTCACCGAGGAGCAGTCTGGCCTGGAGAGGCCACGCGACTCAGAACAGCACCCGATTGAAAGCAGAGCCCATTCAAGACATGTGGCTTAGAGAGGGAGACCATGCTGTCCAAACATGGGTGTAGACAGAGCAGACACAGCCTCTGTGATCTGCTTACGGAGGCTCTGGGCAGACAGCGCCCCAGCCCTTCCATGTCTCTCTCATTTGCTCATCTTGAAGTCCACTTAAGAGGGCAGAAAACCTTTATGTCACATGGGAGATAAAATGCGAATGATTTTTTAGAAAGGTGAGAGGCATAAAATTCCCCTAAGCTAAGGAGGTGCTGTAATGGGCAGCTCTCCACTTTTTCTTTTTCTTTCTTTCTTTCTTTTTTTTTTTTTGAGACAGAGTCTCGCTCTGTCACCCAGGCTGGAATGCAGTGGTGTGATCTTGGCTCACTGCAACCTCCACCTCCTGGGTTCAAGCGATTCTCCTGCCTCAGCCTCCCGCATAGCTGGGACTACAGGTGCGTGCCACCACACCAGGCTAATTTTTTGTATTTTTAGTTGAGACAGGGCTTCACTGTGTTAGCCAGGATGGTCTCAATCTTCTGACCTCATGATCCGTTGGCCTCCCAAAGTTCTGGGATTACAGGCATGAGCCACAGCACCCAGCCTAGCTCTCCATGGTTGAGAAGATTCGCTACTGGAGGAAGAGGTGGCATGAAACCGTGCAGGACCCAAAAGGGTGCCCTGCATGGAGGGAACGTTCCAGATCACAGATCAAAGACTGGATGGAGTGGAGGGAATCCTGTTTTCTAATTTTTTATTATAAAACTTTCCAAACACTCACACAAAGTAGAATTTATTGATCACCGAGATACCTACCACTTACATTCAAAAAGTGAAAACATTTCCCTAGGTGTATGTGATCTGTCTATAGGGGTGTGTGTGTGTGTGTGTGTGTGTGTGTGTGTGTTTGGTTGAGGACCAGCATTTCAATAAAGGATAGTCAGTGCTCAACAGGACTCCAGGGAGGTTTGGAATTTGCTTCATGTCACAAGCCAGGGAAAGGGACCAGACCAAAAATTTCTGGGGTCACAGAGACCCCACACTTTCCTCTATACCTGATATCTTATTCCTTATGCTGGCTCACACTGGACGACTCTATCACACTTTGGAGTGTTTGAGCTGCTTTCACATAATGCGTGTTATTTTCATTGTCATTGCACTGAGTGTCGAGGGGAAAGGGAAGATGGAAGGAAAGGAGGGACGACGGCACAGGTGGCATGACCTGAAGGCAGAGTCTTCTCACGCTGAACTCCAAGTTTCTTTTGATTTTGGAGCAGGAAAAGCTGGGAAGGTGAATCTGGGGCTCTCTGTATATAAGGAGGAGCTTAGTACTTCTCGGGGAAACCACTGAAGCCAGGCTCTCAGCAGCCCACAGCCCCCGTTCTCTCCCAGCCAGGCTGGGGAAACCGACCTGCGCCCACCTGTGTCCCAGCGGCCTCCCCCTGCTCCAGGCCTCTGCACTGCCGTTTCCTCTTTCTGGAATACTCTTCTTCCCCTCTTTTCAACCTGTCGGGGCAGCAGCCTCAGCCCCTGCAGCACCCCCGGTGCCCACTGCTGTGGCTGCACTTGTCACTCTAGTTGTCATTCCCTGTTTCTTTGCTGGTTTCCCTCACTGAACCATGAATCTCTCAATGACTGAAATTGAGTCTCAACAGCCCTTTTTTCCTCAGTGTGAAGCTTGATGCCTGCCACTAGTAAACATGCAAT